TCAAGAACATATATTCCTTAGCTTCGAGATGATGTATTCTGTATATGTCTAGTAAGGACATTTGTTCTAGGGTAGTATTTAAGTCTCTTGTATCTTTGTTTGGTTTCTCTTTAGAAGATCTGTCCAGTTCTGCCAGAGAGGTGTAAAAGTTCCAAGCTATTATGCTGTTATGAGATATCATATTGCTCACACCAATCAAGGTGTCTGTTTTACAAATCTATGAGCATTTAAATTGGGGACACAAATATTTAGAATTGAAATGCCCTCTTGTTGTATTGTTCCCTTAACCAGAATGAAGTGACCATCTTTGTCTTTCTTAATTTTAGTTACTTTAAACCCACTTATATCTGAAAATAAAATTGAGACCCCCTCATTTCTTCTGGTTTCCATTTGCCTGAAAATACTGCTTGCTTTCCATCCCTTTACCCTGGATCTAGATGTGTCAATTAAGGCCAGGTATGTTTCCTGGAGACAGAATATGAATGGCTTGTGCTTTTTTATCCAATCAGCCAGCCTGTGACCCTTTGGTGGAGAATTCAAGCCGTTAACATTTACTGAGAGAATTTAAGTGTAGTGAAGTTCTAGTCATCTTATTTTGTGCAGTCCATTGATTAGTTTTACCCTTTGCTCCATTGTGGAAGCCAGCTTTTGTCCTTTAGTTTCTGGGTGTTTACTTTCTTGTTGGGCTATTGTGATGGTCAGTGTGAAGAACAGGTCTAAGTGTTTTATGTTGAGCTAGTCTTGCTGTGGCAAATTTCCTCACTGTTTGCATATCAGTAAAAGATTTGATTTCTCCATAGATTTTAAAACTTAGATTAGCAGGATATAGAATTCTAGGCTGAAAATTGTTTTGCTTAAGAAGGTTAAAGGTAGGTAACCATTCTCTTCTGGCTTGGAAAGTTTTGGCTGAAAAGTCTGCTGTCACCTTGATGGATCTGCCCCTGTAGGTCAATTGGTGCCTACTCCTGGCTACTTGTAAAATTTTCTCTTTTGTCTTGGCTTTGGATAGGTTCATTACAATGTGTCTTGGAGATGCTCTGTTTGTGTTGAGATGATGGGGTTCAATATCACTCTAAAAGGAGTGTTGCAGAATCTTTAGTGAAACTTCAGAAATTTTCATTTATAATATTCTCCAATAGGGCCTCCATTCCTTTGGGAAATTCTTCTTCCCCTTTAGGGATCCCTATGTTTGGACACTTTGTGAAATCCCATAATTCTCTGAGTGAATGTTCTGCTTTCTCTCTCCTCTCTTAACTGTTAATTACTTAGGTTAACACAAGAGCTTTATCCTTTAGCTCTGATATTCCTTCTTCTTCATGATCTAATCTGTTATTGAACTTTCTACTGCATCTTTCAATTCCCCAATTGACTCCTTCAATTCTTTAAGGTCCACTGTATCTTTTCTATATTCTTCATGTCTTCCATCCATTTTTTGCTTCTGTTTTTCCGCTTTATCCTTAATTTCCTCTATTGCCTTTGGGAATCCATATTTTAAATTCTCTTTCTTCATTTCCATTAAGTCTTTATAGTGGAATCCTCTGTGGCAGCTGTCTCATGGTTCCATGGGGGGGGTGCTCTGTTTTGATCTTTCACATTGCCAGAATTTTTCTGTTAGTTCCTCCTCATGCCTCTTTTCCTTTTGTTCACTTCCTTCCCCTATTTTTTCCTTCTCACTACCTCCTTCCCTTTAACTTATCTAATCTCAGAGCTTAGGTATTGAAGTGGCCTTTGGTATAGGGCTAAAAGGAAGAGAAGGGTAAAGAGCAAGAAGAGAGAAAAAAGAGGGGGGGAAATGGAAGTAGAAAAAGAAAGAAAGCAAAAATAGAAATGGTGTTATTCAGCAGGGTGCTATGGCCACACCCATAAATATTTGGAGAGAGACATATATAGGTACATATTGTAGTATATTATCTGGACAACAGGTGGCACTGTGGCATTAGGAGGCAGAGAACATAGAGAAGCCAATTTCTAGTTGCAGAAGAAGGTGAGTTCTCTTTCTGACTTAGTTACCCTGAATCAGGGCCTGTGCTTCAGCAGCAGTCAGTCCCTGTAGAATTGTGATCTTAAAGCTCTTACTAGATTCTTTAGGAGGCACATCACACAGTGCCCCTGACAACAATTCCTGGGGCCACTCAGGTCACCCCAACGATGGACACATGAGCTCAGCAGGCATGCCAGATGTGGCTGTGCACTAGGACGCTGGGAACCATTTCTCGCACATGGCCTTCCCACAGTGGCAGTGCCCCACTAGTAGGCCAAGCCAATGGGAGTTCACTCCATCCGGGATTCAGTCCCACTGCTGGACATTGTTCAACTCATTTAAGCCCTCCGAGGCCACTCAAGTAAGTAGATTAGCCCAAAATCAAAAAACTACCAGACAGCCCTATCTGGTCCCCAGTCCTCCATGGGAGGGCTGGCCAGCTGGTCCCTGCCATTCCCAAGCACTTGCCTTCTGTGCTGGTTTACCTCAACTCCAGACCTCCTCACTATAGTCCATCACTGCTTCACTTTGCCCCTGGAGTGATGTTCCTGGCGGAGTACCCCAGCCAGAGGTGGTTGGAATTTTCTTTCTCCTGCCTCACCATGATAGGCTATTAAGGAGATGTTTCTAGTCCACCATTTTGTTCCACCCCTAAGGTCTAGGTCTTAAACGAAGTCTTTACAGAATGCAAATAGTCATTGAATATTTACTTTTTTGTTTCAAGTTTTCCTAAAGCAGTTTGGCTATTTTTTTAATGCCCATTTAACATTAATATCTAGACTAATTTGTTTAAATGTTGAGATAATTATATGCATGTATGTATGTATATAAATGAAGCTAAGAGGATAACTTTGAACAGAAGTATAAATTTGTAGACAGTCTTATTTTATCAAACACATAACTATGTGATAAAGTTAGACCAATAATCTTAATTTATAAAAAAGAAAGCTCTTCAGAATTGTTATAAAACCACAGTGACACAGTGTCCTGGGATTCTGACTAAGAACCCAGTTCTAAAAAATCAAACAACCTTAAAAACAATACAAATAGGATTGGCCCTGTAGAGACATCTCCCCAACATGTGGAGGATCACTGAGCAGTGACTAAAGGTGTTTAAAGCCCACTCAGTAGGCAAAGCACCAATGACCCACTACTCTCCTGACATTGTCAATCCCTCTTCCAGTGGGAAATATACTAAATAAACAGAATGCCAATATAACATAATATAATAATGTGTTATATACATATATTTATATGTCATATAAATATAATATGACATCTGCTTAAGTAATTTGGTTATAGATTACTCACAGTACAAATTTTGAAGTCTAGTTATCAGAAAATTTTATCCTAAAAGTACTATTTGTATAAGCATTCACCATTATATATCATGGAGTTAAACAAAACACACAAAAAACTAAATTGGTAGGGCCAACACAATTTGTAACAAACTGCAATTAAAAATAAAAAGCATCAACTAAAAGGTAAGAACAACTCAATATAACACTTACAATGTGAGTTTTTCCCCAAATTAACTATCTGAAAATACATACATATGGGTTTCTGTTTTTTTCATAAATAAGGTTATACTTTACATATTGATCAGCAACATTCCTTTTTCTCCTTAATAATAAAACTTGGCAATATTTACATGGTAGTTCTTATGTCTCTGACACAGCCTTTGTAACATTTGGCTGTCTTAGCAAATTAAAGTAGTCAAAAATGTCAAGTAAAATGCTGATTTTAACTTATGAACAGCAAACTTTAGTAACTCTTAGAGGCCTTAATTGCACACAAAATAATGGAAATGAAAGAAAGGACTATCATTTGCCTGTAGTCCCAGCTACTCAGGAGGCTGAGGCAAAAGAATTGTCTAAGCCCAGGAGTTGGAGGTTGCTGTGAGCTGTGTGATGCCCTAGCACTGTACTGAGGGCGATAAAGAGAAACTCTTGTCTCTACAAAAAAAAAAAGAAGAAGAAGAAGGGACTATCATTTTTTTTAACCAATTGCTGTCTATTTGGAGAACCTAATGAAATGGGTAGCTTATTTTGAAGCTTTAAACTATTAAATAATTTTAAATAATATGAATTACCAAACTGCTGATTGAATGTATGAATAATCATAAGTTTTAAATTTAAAAATGCAGAGCAAAAATAGTATTATCCACACTGGTGTTAAATGTATCTCCACATGCCTATAAAGTTTTGTTCATTCAAAAATTTTTCATCATTCAACAAATTGAATCATGATGAGATTTATTATTTGTCTGATGTATCTGGAAAGGAAGGAAAAAAAATATGATCCTCTTGTGGGAAGAAGCTATTCCTTCCTCCATCTCATGTTCTGGGTTCTGAGCACAGGCAGAACATAGAAGCACCAGATAATCAATTACCTATTCATTTATCTATATTTTTAACTAGTGTGCCCATCACTATTTTAGGCAGAGAGGAGGCAAGGGTGAACAGGGTAGGTACAATTCCTGACCCCAAGGAGTTTACTTTCTAGTTTTAGGTAATAGACAATGAAAAAGAAAGCAAAATAAGAAATTGTAGATTGGGTCAAATGTGGTTAAAAGCCTACATATCATACAGTACAATGACTGGGAGAAGATATTCTTAATATAGGGTGTTCAGGGAAAATCTTTCTCAGGAGACAACATTTGAGCTAAGATCTGAATGACAAGGAACCACCCTAGATTTGGAGGTGGAAGTTTCTGGGCAGAGAAAGTTGCAAATGCAAAGACTTTGAGGCAGGCACATTCAGAATGCTTTAGGGAACTGCAGAAGGCACAGAACTGCCACCTGCATAGCAGCAGAGCAATGAGTAGAGAGAATGGCTGCTGATGAGCTCAGGAATGTCAGCAGGGGCTGCCTATGGGAGCCCTGATCTTTTAGATGTTTTTAGGAGTTGATGGGAGACCCTCTGGGTATTCTAAGCAGGAAATGATGTGATTGGATTTGTGTATTACATGTACAAATCTCCCCAGTCCTTGCTGCTGTGGAAAAAAAGCCTTAGATGATGAGTTACCATGGAATGAGAAAGGCTATATTGGAGGCCTCTCCAGAGAGTGGCTGAAGGGTGAGGAAGATAGCTGGCCCCAGGAGGCAATAGGAAAAGAATAAAGTAGAATCACATGTCTTGGAGGTAGAAAAAAACAGAACTTGCTGACGTATTGATTGCAGCAAATGAGGTAAAAATACCAAAAATAAAGTGTTGACTCTTGAGTTTTTAATTGAACAAAAGGATGGAAGGAGTGGCATTTACCATGCTATCAGGATAGAGGAGAAACAGGTCCAGAGAAGGAGCAAAGAGTTCTCTGGGGACTGCTGCATCCAAGATGTCTACAAATTTGGACCCACCAGAGATTTCAAGTAGACAGAAGAAAGTCTGGAGCACCTCGGAGAATACAGGCCTTGGAGATAAAATCATGAGTCACCCATGTCAGGTTCCTCCCGGAGAGCAGCATCCACTGAGACCTGTGGAAACTGGCAGTGATTGACTGAAGATATATAGAGTTAGAAGCAACAGAAAGACAGGCAAGAGACATAGAGTAGAATTAAAAGCAGGAGCTCAGGGGTCCATTGCCCATCCCGGGATTCCAACAATGCCCAGAGTGTTTGCTCCACTCTGATTTTATTGAAGTCTATTTGCCCAGAGGGTAAGATGAGGAAGGGAACAAAGACTCAGCAATTTCTCGGATTGATCATATCAGCTTCCATTGTTATTATAATTAACCATAAGGGTGGCCTTCAGTAATCTGAAATCTGAGCCTTATATCGTGACAGCCTCCTGCTTGAGATCACACACACAGATTTCTAAGGAAGTGTTAAGGTCCACTAGTTCTCTGTGGAGGAAAACACTACCAGCATTAGTCTCCTCTGAGGGATTGGTGGGAGGGAGGCATTTTCCTCCCGTCACCACCACAGAGGATTTGCCTCTGCTATAAGGGATATAAGTTCTTTTGCCCATATGTCAGAGCTTGAGCTACTCCCTTGGTCTCTGCCCCAGGCAAATGCAAATCTCCACAATGGGTATCTGCTTTGCCTGTGTAATGGGCAGGAAATGCCCTAGAAGATGTATCTTTTCTAGGACTTGCCATAATCTCTTCTATGGCTATTAGTCTCCTGAGAGGGCTCACAGACTCAGCAGGGTGTTTGTAAACTATATCCCCAATAGGCTAGAATTTCAGAAAAGGCAAGAAGCTTGCTAGCAATGGCTAGCTTAAATGTAAACTAGCTGACTTTTCTTTGTTCTGACTCACTAAGCTTACTTTTTTGTTTTCCTCTTTTTCTGGGGGTGCTTTCCTTTGCCAAGAATGGGGTTTTCAGTCCCCATTCTCCCAACAACAAGCACTGAGATACAGGCAATCCCCGAATTACAAACATTTGCCTTGGAGACTATTACAGGCTAATAGGTAAATGTACCTATTCCAACTTACATACACATTCAACTTAAGAACAAACTTACAGAACCTATCTCATTCATAACCTGAGTACTGCCTGTATTTAAACAACAGGATTGAGTAAGACCCTATGTGGAAAGAATATATATAAAGATTGGAGACCAAGTAGGGGCTCCAGTTTTTAGTGAATTGAATACAGTCAGAAATCGAATTTAGAGTCATAGAAGTTTGATTCCTTATTCTCTGAAAAATTACTTCTATTAATAATTTTAAAATAAAACTAACTTACCTAGGTAAATATCCCATCAGTGTGTTCTACCAGACTGGCAGTCCTGGGTCATCTCCTGCCTAGAGATAAGGAGTCTCACCACCTCTGCCATCAATGATGAGCCACCCAAGTCTTTTGAGTTGTGTGACATTTACTATTGTCAACATTTTGAGCCAAACTGAAACTGAACACATAGAAAATCATTGCCAGAACTGTGGTTCATAGGGGATTCTGCCCATTTAATTTCTCAACAAAGCCCATTTGAAGAGTGTCAATTGAAATTTGAGCAGCGTTTGAGTGGGCAGCTCCAGCAGTTAATGATGTACGTATTTCTCTAGTGAGTAGAGAAAGGAAAAAACAAAACAGGGCTTCAGCTCTTCCATGGACAATCTTAATCCAGTTTAACTCCCACCCCCTTAGTTTGTCTTTTTTTTCTGTTTTCTCCTCTGCCAAAAGTGAGGGAAAATATGTGGGTGGCAGAAGTACTGCTGAGGTCCTTCATAGACTTACTTTCCATCTCCCTGTGATAGTTAATTTCATAGGTCAACCTGGCCAGGCCACATGCCCAGTTGTTTTGTCAAGCAACCAGTCTAGGTGTTACTGTGACAGTTAACCTTTACTAAGTACTTTGCTATATCAAGTCCCCTGTTGAGCATTTAAAATGCCTTATTTCATTTTGACAATGTAAGGTATGTACCGCTATTATCTCCAGTGGACACATGAGAAAACTGAGGCTCAGAGAGGATGTACCTAGTTACAGGTACCACAATTAGTAAATGGCAGAGGAGGACTTAAAACTAGGCCGTCCAAACCCCTTTGCTCACTGCATTCCCAGGGTATTGAACAACCTCCTTACTACTATTCAGTCCATTTATTTTGACCATTTTAAGAGCTTCCTCATACCCAACACTCAGTGACCCAAATGAATAATGTTTTATATATATATATATATATATATAGAGAGAGAGAGAGAGAGAGCAAGTTTTTTTGAGTATTTTTTTATTTTTTCAAATTAATACGAGGATACAATTTTTAGGTTACATTGTTCTCACTTCCAAGGTAAAGTTCCATTTGTAGAAGAGCCCCTCACCCCAATATATACTTTTTGACTCTGTTTGTCAGGCTAGAGTGTCATGGCATCATCATAACTCACAGCAAACTCAAATTCTTGGGCTCAAGTGATCCTCCTGCCTTAGCCTCCCATGTAGCATGAACTATAGGCACCCACCACCACACCTGGCTAATTCTTCCATTTTTAGTAGAGACAGGGTCTTGTTCTGCTGAGGCTGGTCTCAAACTCCTCAGGTCAAGGGATACTCCTGCCTTAGCATGAATAAGGTATGAATAATGTTTAATTTAAAACTGATGACCAAGAATCAGGAAACAGGAGAGGTACAAGGACCAAGGGAACACCTAGAACAAAGAACCAGTCACTTCTACTAAGTATCACTTATTTGACCTGAGGTTTAAACCAAGTCTTGCTCTTTAAAACTGTGGAGCCAAACACTTGAATTATGTTCACCAGTCACTACTAATATATTAGCTCTTAAATGAATGCTTGTTACCAATATAATCTGAAATATATCCAGATGTGGCAGTATCATTGTATCCGATGCAAAGGAAAGTGTCAAGATGATAAAAGGAAAGCATAAGCTGTTCCATCAAGTAGATGAGGGTATAATAATATCTTTCATCTTGCAGATAATTGTAATTGCCAACCGGGTACATAATGCTTTCAGGTTGGTAGATATGTGACACTCAGAAGTAAAAAAGAATTAAGCTACATATTTCACTGATGGTTTTCATATGGGCCTTGGGCTGTCAGGTTTATGAGACGTAGCAAGGATCCAAGGCAAAGGAAAACCTTAGGATTTACCCCCACCTAATACATGCAGAATGACCTGAGGTAAATAAATTTCAGTAGGAAAGGAACAAAGGAAAATGAAGGGAATATATTCATCAGCGTTCTCCAGAGAAACAGAACAAGTGGGAACCATAGATAGATCTACATGAGGAGATTTACTGTGGGAATTGGCTCACACCATTATGGAGGCCAGGAAGTTCCAAGATCTGTTGCCTATAAGCCAGAGACCCAGAAAAGCCAATAGTATAATTCAATCTGTGCCCAAATGCCTGACATCTAGGGAAAGGTCTAAAGGTCCAAGAACCAGGAGTCCTGATGTGCAAAGGCAGAAGAAAATAGATGTCCTGATTTAAGCAGCAAGTGTGAATTCACCCTTCTGAAACCACCCTTACAAACTGATGAAGGGGTGCAAGGCAAGAACTAGAGTAAGGGCCCCCAAACTGTGCGAAAGAGCAGGCTTAGCTAAAATAATAATTAGCCACTGTCCCTTCTTGCTTGATTATAATCACTGTTCCTATGTTTGCTTCTTTTTTTATTTTATTTTATTTTTTTATTGAATGGTAACTATGTACAATAATGCACTTCTGGGGTACAGTGTGGGGTTTTCACATGCACTATGTTTGCTTCTTTATGCTGAAGTCATGCATGGGGGTTATTCTTAACTTTCCTCCATGTAGAACATCACTTGTTCAGAACCTAGGGGTAGTTTTGAGATATCTTTCAGGTCCTGCATTCCAGTGACA